TGGGTATCTGCGATGATCAGTTTCTCCTTTTCCCCCCGCAAGACTCGAATGAAGACTTTAATTGGCCAAAAAAAATAATTGGCTTACTGTTGAGAACACTTCGTAAGATGTCGTGATGACAACGGAAGAGAATTGTCGTAAGACTGCTGTAAGGTAGGTATTGTGAAGCATTGGGGATAGCAGAATGCGTAAACAAGATTCGATTGTGACGGAACGCGGATTGTTGACGGAGGGAAGATAGAAAGAAAAGGAGGGAAGGGAGGGGAAAAGAAGTCACGTTGAAAGGATTTTCTCTTGAGGTCGTTGATGGATGATTCACTCTGCCTATTCCATCATCGACCTCAGTGTCCTCAGTCCCCTTCAAAATTCGCCCATATCTGAAAATCCAGAGACCTAGATGCGGAAGACGCATGAAGCACAAGCTCACGTAGCTCCTACCTCTTTGGCATGCTGGTTTCATCCGGCGTCTGTCTTGCTTGCCTTTGCCTTCCCATGTCACATTGTCATCAAAAGAGGCTCACTTGCATATATCTGTCAATTAGGCGGACGACACAGGGTGAAGGCTCACAGAGACCAACGGCTGTCAGGATTTAAGAATGAATTGCTGAAATCTGCCGCTTTACTTGGCGTGTACTCCCTGCGCTGTGCATCTATCCAAATTGCTCCTTTGTTACTTGACCCCCTTATCATCCCTAGGTAACTTAAGCCCATCTAGAAGGACTCTGGCAATTACTTCCCCGATTGGTCCAAAGGAGAATGATTATTCTACAGTTCAGCAAGCTTTCTTCTAGAGCTAATGTCCTTGAAAAGCCACTTTGTGTAGCTTTGTAGTCATTATGTCGAGACCAAGTTCTATGGTCTTCTGCTCCACATTTCTAAACCCTTCTGGGCGTTATAGTCCCCAAAATACATGTCAAATTGGAAACAGGCTCGAGGAATGTTCGGCCACGAAGGTCAGCAGTAATGGTGAACATGGTGACATAAAGTAGGCATTAAAATCGTCACTTCCTGTAAGCGCACTCTAGAAATATCCCAATCTGGGCTAGGAGAGGCATCTCGTGACCCGACGTAGAATGTAGAAGTTGATCCCCGATTCCTGGCGTGTTCAGATGTTGCTAGGTTGCTTTGCTCAACTACCTTCATTGATAAGATAAGGTTTCCCTTTCACACCAGTTCCAAAACTTGGTTCTTAGAGACTTCTCCCCACTTGATCTAGGCTTCATCCCTTCGGCAATGTCTTCTGGGATACATCCAAACCTTCCCCACGGAATGATGTACGAACCAGACTTCTCTACCGAAACGTCGGGGGAACAAGCGGCGAAGAGCTCACTATATGCGCCATGTCTAGGTCCTTTGAACACGACACCCTGAGACTCGATTAGCTTTGGGACGGGAATTACCATACCAGAGACTTTTAGACATACCATGACGACGCTCATTGCTGCTGGAGCGTGTCTCTGCAACTCTGTTTTGACTAGTCCGGGGTTCACACTCTGTCCCTCAAGTCAGCATGCGTTGTATGTGATCAAAAGGGGGAAATCAAGCTTACCACAGAGATGATGCCATCATCCTTCACTCGCCTTGCAAACTCATCAGCAAGAAAGACGCAGCCGACTTTCCCCTGCATGTAATCGCTCATAGAGTCTCCAGAGAGCTTCGGCGCCCCCTTGGCCTCATCCCAGATCACACCACCCTTGGGTGCTCCAAGCGATATCATACTCGCGACCCAGACCACTCTTACGCTCCCTCTTGGCATTCTTTCCAGCCGAGCGGTAGCTCGAAATCTTTCCTCCAGACACCTCGTTAGAAGATACGGGCCGAGGGCGTTTGTGCCAATCTGTAGCTCGTGGCCTTGGGCGGTTGTGCTGCCCTGAGGCGGCATCATGACGCCGGCGTTGTGTACCAGGACATCCAACCTCGACTCCTTGGCAAGAAAGGATTCGACGGCTGGTTTGACTGTTGTCAGATCTGCGAGATCGAGCACGAGCGGCTCGAGCTTGCCATTGCTCGATGGATGTAGGGCTTTGATGGTCTTTATTGCCGTGACTATCTTCTCACTTGAGCGGGTCGCGATGTAGGTCGTCGCGTTAGCTGCATAAAGGATCTTGCCGAGTTCTAGTCCAATGCCAGATGCTCCGCCGGTGATGATGAACACCTGTATCCTGTCAACTTCGGGCCCTACTTTTTACAATATTTAGCAAAACACAACGTACCCTGCCTGCTTGGTCTGGCAAATTCTGTTCTGTGAAGGTGGGTTTGGGTGGGAAAAGCTGGTTCAGGTTACGATTCAACATTGCGGATTGCGGATGAAGTGATAGGGCTAGAATCAAATGTGGTGACTAGAATAATGCCAGATGTGAGGATCGGGCACTCAGTACTCAAATTTCCCAATTCTCTGATGCCGGACTACATTTGACCTATCTTAGCTCACGAGCTTCGCGAGACTGAGTCTATATAAGCGTCAGGCTTTCTCAATCGCTCACAGCACAGCACATGTGTCGTGGTTTTTTTTTTTTTTTTTTAGTTAGTACTTCCTCGTAAGCCATAGTGGCTTACAAAATTACAGCCCCGGCCTTCAGCAACGTCGTGACCGCACAATAATCAGAGGTGCCTACAGCCAAAAACAGACTCCGGATGGGCTATCGGGCCAAACTCTTGGCTTGATCCGACAGCAGGCAGGATTCGGTAAGGCCTAAAATCGGGTTGATGCCAAAACCGACCCGGTTCGGGATTAATGCAGAAAAATTGCCCTGTAAACCCGAGGCCACCGGGTCCGGACCAGCGCCCCACATGTGAAACCCGCGAAGGATTGCGGAAGGATTCAACATCAATAATGTTCCTCACGACCACCGGTGACGAAAATGCCTCCTAAAATTCCGCTACGTGTGACTTGTCAAAGAGACTGCAATGATTCAGCCGCAAAATTGCGTCTTCGATTGAGAAGGCCCTCTTGATGAAGGAGGCCTCATTGAGCTTCATTTAAAGGTCTAAGCACGATCTCGGGGGAGGCGGCAGTCCATATTTAGGTAATTAGTTGATGCCACTGCGATGAAGTAGAGTTTCGAGATCAAAATTGCCCTTTTGAAAATGAATGATGGTGTTATTGCGGATTGTATTCTATGAGAAAAGCGACACGGTCAACGGTACTGTCTCAAGACAAGACTTCGAACCCTGCAGAGCCTTTACCACAATGCAATTTCCAAACCCATTGTCAACTGATTGAAAAAGAACCGCAGTTCTCTTGATGTGAAAACAGTACAAGGCGAATGATTTGTCAGGTGCGAAAGCAAAGCGGAAAAGAATCAACGGTCTTCACCCCTGCTGTGCCCAGGCGGCAACGATGATCCAAGGGCTAGGAATTCGGGGCAGCGTCAGTGAGGGTTTAAACTAGATGCGAGGTCATGGCTGTAAACTTACGGGGCGCGGGTACCTAAAGTGTCCCAGACAGTGGCGATAATAGCCAATTGTCAATGGTCTTCGCCCAAACATCGCTGACAAGCTTTACGCGGGTCAACTTCTCGAGGTCGGGTGGCGTCTCATCGATCACCAGTGTATCATGATTTCTGCCCGCACGGTTCCCCAACCTATTTTTGAGGGAGAGTAACAGTGCACTCCTTGTCCAGTAGGTCATGAGTTGAGTGTTGGCCCGACCTAACCGGCGAAGTTCGTCACGGTCCCAGCTAGCAATGCAATCTTCCTTAGCAGTGAATATTGAATAGCCAAGTGTCTGGTCATATTTGGTGCCGAAGGGTAAGTCGGAGCCTCTTGCGTCGCAAAACCCGAAACGGAGACGTTCGAGCTCCTAGTCGACTTTGGCCTTCAAAAAGACATCATCTCCACGACAGCGCAGCCGACGAGAACGTGGATCAGACGAGGCGATGCTGATATCATCTCCATGAAGCTTCTTAAAAGGCTCAGCGTCTTCTGTCAAGACTCCAATCTTGATTATGCTATCCTGGGTCTTCCTGACAACAGCACGCGTGGGTTGAGGAACTGGCGTATCGGTGTCCCACTTTGAAAATGCCAATTCCCAGATTTTGGCTCTTGCAGCCTCTTGCGCTTCCGCTGTATCGAGACTCCACAAACGAGAACACTCGTGGTGTCTTCCCATCCAAATGTCGGGAATTCTTTTCTCCGTCGCTGTCAGATCATCATAGCATTTCAACGGCCAGCCGACCTTGGCTCGCTGATCGGATGGGAAGATGACCGGATGTAGTGTACGAATGGCATTGTCGGAAGTTGTATGAGAGATTGGGGATGGGAGAGTGGTTGGCGGCATGGTAGATTGGTTGTTTTGGGCTCCACAGAGAGCGTTGTGAGAGGCTGAAAGGTAGAATGGTGAGCGTCTAGATCTGTGAAGAAAGCGTTGAATTGGTGTGTTGAGTGTCGACCGGCTACTGACTGCTACTGCTGCTGTAATATTGCCGAATGATGCAACGGCCGCGATAATCGTACCGACGGCGGTTTGGGTGTAGGGGAAGTTTAAAGATTTGATGCAGTGGAAAGAGAAGAACATGAAGTTCAAGCGTGTATAAAGTGGGAAATGATGAGAAGGAGGCGAGAGAAATTGGGAAGGTGGAATGAGGGGTGGGTGGAAAGGTGAGAGAAAGCGGAAGGTGAAAGGAGATGTGTGTGTGAGAGAGGCAAGTGAAGGCGCATCCAGGCTCCTCCCCTTCAGGAATCCAAGCTCAACACCGACACAAATCGTACCATAGGCTACCTAAATATTGTGTGAAATCTGAAGAACTGGATAGTAGACCTTGATAACAAGATGGAAGACAAATGTGACCATTGTTGAAGAGCAATGAGGCGTATAACATGGAAAATATTCAACCCGAGCCCGCCAGCCTCAGCTCAGCGCGAAAGACTTTCAGAACCGGATGGCAATCACAAGTCTCGAACTCCTTTCCTGCTTCTTTTTGGGATGTGTAAAGTCAGCAATATCACCTGCCCGCCCACGCCCCAATCCCGGTCTCTCATTCCATCCGTGTCTTCATCGTCGTCTTCACCGTCGTCTTCACCGTCGTCTTCACCGCCGTCTCGGCCCCCATGAGGCGCTCTGGTTCATTCTTGTCACCAAGTGAGTAAACACCACGAAGACCAAGTGACCTAATGGCATCTACCTAGCAAGTTGAGAGAAGGAAGGTACCTCGACCGGGCTCTCTTTGAAACCCCGGCGAGACGCGCATGTTCGAGCCATGGACCAAGGCTCGATGGGGCCTGCGAAAACAACCAAAAGTCCAATATGAAGACGTACGCGTTGGGTACCGTATCTTGAGAAAAGAAAAAATGTGTTTCATGAGAAGTGGGAGGCCGACTCAAGCACTTCTTTCAAGGGAAGGGTCGCCGATTTCAAGAAAATGATGACGCGAAGTGCGGACACCTGGCGTGTTTTCGAGTAACATAGTTGAGGCCTACAATGATATTTTGGCGTGTCCCGGACTTCGCACCTCTCGGCAGATAGATCACTGCGCTGGGCATGTGGATGAGGAGCACTAGTCTGAGATTAACTTCGCGGTACTACCAATCAACCCCACATATCTCGACGGCCTCCCGCGTTGAGTTCTGCATGTTTCAAACAACCTCATCGTATTGGACAGGGTGGGTGTGCTCGAGACCGCTATTCGAGCCTACCGGGAGCTGTCATGTGTCGGATATCGTCCTGTTATCAGCTTTTTGCCGAAAATCTTCACTCAGCATGCCGCGAGCCTGTAGTTCCAAAAGTTCAGATTCTTTCACTAAACTCCATTTCGTCCTTTAATCAAGTACTTTGTCACCTGTGAGAGAGGCCCCAGGCAGAAGGCTATCTAATGGCATTGCCGGGATGCCCTATCATTGAATTGTGGAGCATGATATGATGAAGGTGTTTCCCGCAGAGATAGTTCTGAGGCCTACAAGAATGTGGAAGATCTCCAAGCTTTGATACCTGCGCCATCGGCAGCTACTAGCTCTTGTCAGGTGAAGCGGAACGTAATGTGTGTCTTGGAAGACAGCGGTATGGGTACTGAGTACGTATAAAGAGATATCTGTCTATTATTAAACAGATCATCCCAGCAGCTCCGTACTTTTGTATAATTGAATCAATTCCTTCACCTACAAACCTTTGAATTCATCAGTATCACTACACCAAATCAGTTCCATTACATCTACAGATCTAAGCAAAATGGCAGACCAGACAAGTGTCTATATCTATCATCACGTTTTTCTACCTCCTCAACTGCCTCAATCAGATGACTTCAGCCCGATCAACGAAAGTGCCTTACTCGAGTTCGTCCACGACTCTGTTGCCGAGTTTCGAGAGTACGTTCCTAAGAGCCAAACAAGCTCCGTGAACACTGCCATCGGATTGATGCAGGCCATGGCTCGTCTCCATCAGCCGCTGGGAGATACTGTCGCCATCGATGAATCTGAACTTCTCCAAATTCTTAAGGATTCCGGAGAGAAAGGTGTGTGGTGCCCCTTCACCCCGATTTTCCAACACTAATAACTCTCAAGGGCCTATTGCGAGCACCTTTTCTTTCAACGTCAGAGTCCAGAATGCCGGAGTTCTGATCACGAGGGTCTATGAGGGGATTAGCGTAGAGGCGTTCGAATTGTCTCCGACCAACGAATCAGTCATGTCTACAAAAGGTCGTCTTTGCAGAAGCTTTCCCGGCGTCGGAGTTTCTATTCCTCTCAAGCGTTTCGTTGAGCCAGGGTTCCAAGAGGTTTTAGCTGCGACTCTGGCGAAGATGAGTTCCCAGGCAATTGATGGGACCCAACCACGCGCGAAGAAAGCGGGCCAATTCCTCAATGAAAGCCGCGACACAGCCAATCCCGAAATGATCACCGAATTCATGTACTCGTATCTTCTCGCCAACGGAGAGGCTCTCGCCACAACACGAATTCTGAAGAATACTCGCGAGGAGGTCAATTGGAGTAGTGCTTTGCTCCCATGGCATCGGTCTTCAACTTGGCTGCTCATACGTGTGAGCTTACAACTCCTTTTTACCCGGGCGGCCACGGAAAACAATTCGCATCATTGCCTGTACAAGACATTCATGGCCTTTTTAATGGCCAGAGCACTTGATAGCGCTCTGGCCATCGGATTGCCGTCTGATATGTTGCTCGCAATGGTTTCGAAAATGTCCAGGAGGCTTCTCAAACTCCAGGCTCAGCCTGCCCCGGCTGCAATCGACTTCGTGAAGGAAAATATGTGTCTCGCGAACAAGGTCATTTCTGAGCGATGGACTCGTCTCCAGCAGCATGACTCTCCTACTCTCGGTCCCAAGTTAGACCTTCTACGAACATTGGACTTCGATCGAGACTCCATCATGCGCCTTGAAGACCTCGATTCATTTCTCAGCACTCTTCGCAATCGCACGAGCTCAGCCACGTACCATGAATTTACACCCTCCTGGTCACTGGTTAGCTACTGTCCGTCCGAGCTGCAGCGGGCAATACGCACCCCCGATAACGAACACCTCCATATTCACTTGATCTGTTTCGAACGCTGGGTTGAGATGCATCTTCAGTCTTGGCTTCAAGAACAGCTCAATAACGCATCAAATGACGCATGCTCAACGATCCGGCATGCCATGGAAAGCTACTATGGGTCTGCGAGCTCATTCTATGCCGAGAATCCTGAGACGACGTCTATCATGCTGTTGACAATGTTGGAGCTCTGGGTCGCTTGTGACAAAGCTGCAGTGCGACTCTGCCCGCTTCTGGCAGCGTTTGGTCATGAGATTTCTCAAGGTCCTTTTCAGAACTTACTGCTTCCAACCCATGGCCAAATGGTGAGGCTTCGAGACGCTGAGTTGTACTTGAACCAACGGCATCGCAAGTCGTCTGGCCCATCTATATACAACGAATGCAAAAGCTCGAGCTGTTTCGCAGCGCAGTTCTTTGACGATTCGGATTTGCACCAACAGCTCAAGCGTCGTATCGAAGAAAAGGCCACCCGAAATCGAGAAGCTAAGAAGCAAGAATTTCGAAAACTGAAGAGCCAATATGAGTCACTGATGCAACGACATCGGAACACTTCCTGCGATTATCACCAAACGTATTCAAGGGAGATCTACACATACGTCGACGTTCATAGCCATAATTGCTTACGATGTTCTTACAAAAAGAAAGCTGGCAAGCTGAAAATCGATATTCACGAGTGGCCACTGCCTAGGAACGTGACTGCGGCGAAGTCTACAGTGTTCGAGTTATCGGTCCCAAAATCATTCGGCTACTGGCGAGAGGCTGGCATGTTCATGCTATTCAACGTTCTCAAGGTACACATGATTACATCAAAGCGGCCCCGTGCACACTTTTCTCTGAGAAACTATCAAGCTCTTTCGAGCTTCTATCAGTGCAACATCGAGTCACAGCACATTGGACTTCTGTCCCAGGACAAACCTCACATGTCAACGCATAGAAGATCAGTCTCCGTGGGAACGGCTACTGAGGCCAGTGTCCTACTTGACAATGGTTTGAATCTCGCCTATTTCGACGACAGAAGAGGTTGCTTCATCTCGTCTTTTGATTCATCAGACGAGGTGGCTGATGCATGCACATATCGCTTGCCAAAGCCCTCTAAAGCTTTGCAAAAGTTTCTCTTTCGCCCCTCGTCAAATCCAAGCGGCCCGACTTCCAACACAGTGGTCGCAACGCTGCAGGACTGCCCCGAAGGAATGACACTCGAAGAGTACAAGGAACTTGCTTCAATTCCCCTTGGTCACAGCATTCAGTGGATGAACATCCTTCGTCAACTCTTTGCGTCGACTGTGGATTTTAAAAAGAGGGAAACAGGGCTCATAATTCAACAGTGCATCTATCAAGCTGGGCCGGAAGGAGAAGATGCTTTTAGAAGCTCTCATTCTATTTGCCGAAAGAATTCCTTTACAAGCATCATGTTACAGGGCGTTGCAGAAGCAATGCAGCGATTCAAAGAAAACTGGCAGTCGTCAACAGCATTAGCGTCATTGACGGCAATATCTCGTCGTCTGCTTTCACTGTCTCAGCATGCGGAATTACAACAGAAGTGTCTTGAATGCTTAGCGGAAGCAAGACAAATTGCATTCGCATGGGCGCGCAGCCTTAAGGTCATGAGTCAGAATATTTCTGGCGACAAGGAACGGCTCAACCTGCAACGTCGATCGCTAGAGGTGGCGTTGATATGCGCGGACTCATTCAACGTCGATGAGAATTTCCAAGAGGGAATCTTTTCGACGACTCAGAGCGCGTCGATCTTCTTCCAGTGTTCGTTCGCCATACAAGAGGGCTCGCAGACACTCTTGGGCACTTCGGATACATTTGTTCGGCAACTTTATTGCCGTTGGCAGAAGACTTCCTTGTTGCACTGGGGCTACTTGGCCAAGATGATCCTGTCTCGCAACAGCTGCGCACTTGACGATGCCATTGCTGCAGCATGGTCCGTGTACGAGCCTAGCCATGAGTGGAGTGCCCTGTCAGAGAAGCACAGCTCTTGGTTGACCAGTACCACTACTTCACAAACTGGCCAAATGGCAATCACCTACAACCTTATTACTGGAGAACTGTTAGTGAATGGTGTCCCGCTCGATCATCTGCCGCCGAGTTACCTGAATCATCTTTCCTACCAAGGACTGTTTGGACATATGTCTCTGGAGATCATGCCAACATCGATTCGAGGGATGCGGTTCTCGGCGAAACGACAGTATGCGGGTCATGTGATACACTTGGGCATCGGTCAGGATCTCAGGCACGGAGAGTCTGACCTCTTGGTGCAGGCTTATCACAATAGAAAACGGTTTGATTTGATCCCAAAACGCCTTCTTGTGGGGAAATTTCCCACCGAGTTTGTCGACGACTATGTCCATTGGTACGACTACGATAGGAACTGCGTAGAGTTCTGCCCAAAAGCGAATCCATGGAAACATGATCAGTCGCACTGGAGACTTGTCCCAGCTCCTGAACATAGATGGACGCTTGCGAAAGATGCCACATCTTTGATAGATGTCAACAGTCAATCCGCCATGGCAATCTCCACGATTTTCCGCCCACTTGAGGACCAGTACTCGATCCATATAGTTCATAAAAAGACTGATGCATCCTTATTCGTGGACCTCACCAAAGCTCGACTCGAGTTTACATACCAGTCTGGGAAGACATCGTTGATGTCAAGACAATACCGAGGGATGTCCGTGGACGCGAATCAATCCATCGGTACTTTGGTGGGCCTAAAAGACAAGCTCGTTCTGCGAGTCGACCAGCCTTGCCATGCTGCCATCACTCCTGCCCGCAAAGTTCTCATTCTTGAGGGACGTGTATCCCATCAGAAGTCCGGGGAGCATGTTCAGGTTTGCATCGAGAAAGGCAAGGCAGCTGGCGTGCACCAGTACGATGTGGACGTGAGACTAGGAAGGCTTGTACTGAAAGGCAACCTACAAAGCAAACTGTCCCTATGCTATCTTCATGCCTTGACATCATTTGCGATACCAGACCCTTTGACGGGCAGAACTGGGACAGAAGAAGCTCTTAGCATTCTCGACTCAGCGTCTATACGGTCTTTCAACGTCCTTACTCGCGAGAATCTTGCTCTGCTAGGCCAACTTGCCGAGCTGACGCCGAGTAGAAAATTCTATCCTGAGAATGAACGCGTCATGCAGACTGTTGGATGGTCGCGGCAATTGAGCTTTCTGTCTCAACATGGTTTATTTCACGAGTCTGTCCGCTCCATTGTTCAACAAGCAGAGGAATTGAAGTTCTTCTATCCTCAGCTATATTGCACTCTACCAGAGCTGAACAACCCAGATCGGTTTCTCCTCGATCGTGATAGCTTTCGTTCGTCGGCCTTCCGAGTATCTGGATTTGGTGCTGAGAGTCGAAGCCTAGAACATGACGATACTGGCTATCAGGCAAGAGATCGACGCAGCTCACAGCGACAGTCCCAGGCATTCATGGCAGCCAGTTTATTATCCCGCCAGAGCCCGTCTCTTGTCAAAGCCTTACCCCATGAACTCAAAGGCTCTTTATGGGACTTCCTACAGAGTTATGGTCCAGTAAGTGGTTGTGCTCACGCTTTGCCGACTCAGGAGATAGCCTACAATCCCGAGCTTTTATCTAAGACATCTCAATTCATCGCACGCAATTTCCTGACAATGAAGAGGTCTTTGAGATGGGACGTCAACAAATACCGCCTGATGATATGGCTGGCGACAGTGGCATTCTTCAACGAAGCAGATATGACCATCATCCAGACCCTGGCTTCATTTCACTCGAGAGGCGAATTTGCAGAGATGGTGTCACCGGTGGCAGGCCACTTTGATCTCTCCGAGGGAAAGAGTTTTGTCGCTACGAGGATTCGAAGCTGTCTCAAAAGCAATCTCGTCCCGCTATCGCAATGCCCCGAAGCCAATATGACGCAGAAAGAATCAGACCTGGAGTCATATTGGGAATTCAGAGAACGACAGGAAGAACAATACGGTCGGGAAACAACGAAGGCCGTCGCAGTCCTGGAAGAATTGCTTGGGACACAGTGGCCTTGTAGTGCTCCTGCGATACCACGGCATCACCCAGACAGGAAACATTGGGAAACATACGTCCGCGGGAATGAAGCCCTCCGTGGCATTACATCGTTGTTCGAGAGTTGGCACGACAATCTTCAATTTGACGCCCATCTTCGCGCTATTGCTGACCTCCTACCTTACGAGGTCAGACCTGTGCTGCTCATGGAGCCTAGGTTTTCAGCTCACGAGGTGTCTTCTCACCTATCGGCTCGAAATCAGCGATGCCTAAACGAAGATGATTTGTTCCGAGAAACGACACCACGTTCCGTCAGCGAGCGCCTCGTCATCCTGGATTACGATTCTATCTTTGAGAGCCAGAAACACGCACGTGAGATTGCAGAGGAGTTCAAGCTTCCGAAATTGCTCTCCAGGCTGAAGAATAGGCAACTTGATCAATACGAAAGGCAATACGTTACTGGACTGAGGGCAAGCTTCGAGGCTCTGCAGCTTCACCAGTCGAACGAGGTGTTCACCAAGCCATATTGCGAGGCGTTGATCCCCACTTTGTTGAAATACTTTCAAAAGTGCAAAGGTCATCTTCAGAAACTTCACAATCTCGTCGTGATCGCTCTTTTTGGTCAGAACGGTGGCAATGCTGCCACGAACATCCACAACTTTTACCAACGGCCAAGGTTTTCAACCCTTTTATTTCTGCGAAGGCTAAATCACTTGCATCGAGATAGCACTCCCATTGCTTGGAGGAAGTGCATTGTTCAATATGGGATTGCCGTTACACAACTTCAGCGAGCCGAACGCATGCTGGCTTCCTCCGGCGATGCCGTCGCATTGACGAACGATCTACGTAACTCTGGACATAGCAACTGGTCCCCTGAAGACCACCCCGATACCCTGCTGTTGGAGATTGACAATGGAATCATCGTTCGAGATGTTCAGGCACGGATTGCTGGCCAGATGAGGGACCCTCCAGCAGGGCAGAATGCAGTAATGCAACTGAACATGGGGGAGGGGAAGTCTTCAGTGATTCTTCCCGCGGTTATTGCCGATACCGCCAACGGATCACAGATGCCGAGAGCCATTGTGGCTAAAGCTCAATCAAAACAGATGGCTCAAATGTTGGATGCAACGCTCGGGGGTGGTTTGATTCAACGACAAGTCTTTCACATGCCGTTTTCAAGGGCGCTCAACATCGGTCTTTCTGAAGCCAAGACCATTCACACACTCTTCAAACGGTGTATGAAGTCTAAGGGCGTTCTTCTCATTCAGCCCGAACACATCCTCTCCTTTCAGCTCATGGGGGTTGAAACCGCCATCGCAGGCAAGGCCGATATCAGCCAGTCTCTGATTAGATCGCAACATTTTCTCGACAAGTTCTCCCGCAACATCGTGGATGAGAGCGACGAGAACTTCAATGTCAAATTCGAACTAGTATACACGATGGGATCTCAGCAGCCAGTAGAGCACAGCCCGAACCGGTGGGTGTGCATTCACGAAGTTCTTGGGGTGATGAGAAGATTCCTTCCGGCGGCCCGGGAGGCCGATCCTACTTCGATCGAGGTGTCTAGCTGCCGCAACGGCCGCTTCCCTCGGACACGCATCTTGCGTGAAGGCGCCAGGGATACTTTGCTCAATCTTGTTGCGCGCCATCTAAGTGAAGCTGGCTTGGCTGGCCTACCAATGAGTACTCAGTCACGCTCACTCCAGCAAGCTGTTTACACATACATCACCAAGTACAACCTAACGTCGGCGGAAGCATTAGAGGTTGAGTCATCCATGATTTGGTCACCAGCCACCAAGAACACCCTTCTTCTACTCAGAGGGCTCATCGCCTGTCAGGTCTTCAGTTTTGTATTTTGTCAAAAGCGATGGCGGGTTGATTATGGGTTGGACTACACGCGCGAGCCGGGGACTAGACTCGCAGTGCCGTACAAGGCCAAGGACAACCCAAGCGCTCGATCTGAATTCAGTCACCCGGATGTCATCATCACGCTCACATCGCTAAGTTACTACTACGGCGGATTAAATGATGCGCAGCTTCACCAGACTTTTGAGCACCTTCTACACTCTGATCAGGCAGACATGGAATACTGTGTTTGGGTAGAGGATAGCGAACAGTTGCCGGTATCATTTCATCAGCTATCCGGCATCAATCTCGATGACGGTCAGTGTGTCAGACAGATTTTCCCTTGCATCCGCTACGCAAAGGGAACGATTGATTACTTCCTGCAGCACATTGTCTTCCCCAAAGAGGTGAGGGCATTTCCTTATAAGCTTTCAGCCTCGGGCTGGGACATCGGCAAGGAGACAGCGAACCCAACCACAGGCTTCAGTGGAACAAACGACTCACGTGCTTTCCTCCCCCTGAGTGTCAAGCAACTTGATCTTCCCGATCAGAAGCACACGAACGCTCTAGTACTGGAGTATCTTCTTCAGGACGAAAAAATTCTGTGGCGTTGATGCCATTGAAAAATCCAGCATCAAAGTCAGATGCAGAAACTCTCTTGGAGATGGTAGTCAAGCTGGATCCTCCGGCACGGGTCATTCTCGACGTCGGGGCTCAGATTTTGGAACTCGACAATATTGGGGTCGCAAAACGATGGCTCGAGATGACGGTGGATAACGACAAAACGCAAGCCGTCATTTTCTGCGATGAGGATGATCACATTTGTGTCGTTGACCGCAAAGGACGGATCGAAGGTTTTCAGACCTCGCCTTTTGCCACTCAGACTGACGTCTGTCTTGTTTTTCTCGACGAAGCTCATACTAGAGGCACGGATCTGAAGCTACCGGAGAGTTATCGAGCGGCGGTGACACTGGGAGCGAGTTTGACGAAGGATAGATTGGTTCAAGGTGAGCGTTTCTGACCAATAACATATCATGTGGATGCTCGCTAAGAAGGAATCAGCTTGTATGCGAATGAGGAAGCTGGGAAAAGGTCAGTCAGTGGTATTTTGCGTCCCAGACGAGATCAATCAGAAAATGTCTTCTGCCTTTGATCTCAGCAACAATGTCTTGCAGGTGGATCACATCCTAGAGTGGTCCATCATGGATACATTCAAAGACTTACACCGTGGGATATGGCTGTGGGCGAACCAAGGCCGTCGCTATCAAAATCAGAAGTCTCTCTGGGAGGAAGCAATGATGGACGACGCAAAGACCCTGAGCAAGAGACACGCAGAGAACTTTCTGGAAGAAGAAGCGCAGACACTTGAAACACGGTACAAGCCTATCTGCCAGCTTGTATCAGAAGTTGCACATGAAAGCGACAGAGACCAAGTCGATGGTATTACCAAAAGATTACTCCAATTTGGAGGACTCAATCCGGAGTCCACCAGCTTTCGAGAAGAGCAAGAGAGAGAGCTGTCACCAGAAGTCGAGCAGGAAAGAGAAGTTCAGAGACCACCTGCAGCAAAGCCTGCACGACACGTCATACACCCTGACGTCCGCGCTTTTGTCTCCCACGGAGTGATCAGAAGAGAATCAGAGGGATTCATGCCTGCCTTCAAGTCTTTCGCAGAGACTAGTGCTGCCAAAGAGTACGACGTCAGCCGGATCCCACGGGGCCTCTTGGTCACCGCAGACTTTGCCCGGACAATCGTCCCTTTACACAGAGGCTATGTTTCAGATCTCTTCCAGAGGTCAGTCCAATGGATTTTGACCAGTGTGTCAAAGACAGGGAGAATTACGGTTGCTACGATCATCAGTCCCCACGAAGCCCAAGAGCTTTTGCCAGAGATTGAGAGATCTAGCGTGGTATCTCTTCATATCTATGCCGCGCGACCGAATCTGGGCTTTCGACCTTTGGATAGGTTAGATCTTTACGTGATTCCGCACCAACCGGTTGTCCGGACTCCATGTCATCGACTCGTCACCGAGCTCAACCTCTTCTCTGGTCAACTTTATATCAAGTCGATGGATGATTATCGAGACTTGCGGAAATTCCTTACCTTGGACTCGGAGGACACACATATGGATACCACAGGTGGTCTCGGGGTTGATTCAAATGATATCATGGATCGAGGATCCCTCGTTCAGTTCTTCAAAATGATATTGATGAAAATTCGAAGGAACTGTGAGTCGATAGACAAAACGCACGTTGGACGAATACTAGACCAGCGGGCCTTGGATGCTTCGGACCTAGAAAAGGAGAAATGAACGTACGCGATAGATCCCAACCCGGATTGGAGAGAAGGATGCAACACCGTACGCCGACTACTGGTGTCAGAGTATTTAATAGATTTGATGGTCTTTTTTCACTTAGAATATCTACTTACAGTCCGAATTTACACATCGCCTTATCTCCAATCTTCGGGAAACACTTCAAATGGATGACTGACACTGGCCTGCAATCAAAAACACCACTTCCCCGTATCGAGGATTCAGGTCAAGCCCTTTTCTATCATTTCTATGGAACCGATCATTTTAACATCAAAGATATCCCGTTGCTTGAGTCGGAGCCTCCTAGATCGACAAAAAGCCTCCCACATCACTTTTTATTTGCCAGCCTCAGTACATCTAGCCCATGTCCATTCTTATGTCAGACCCGCTTTCTATCCTGGTCGTATTCTTCCTCCACCCAAGAGCTAAAATTCAAAATTCCGGGATTCTCTCGCTTCGCGGCCGCGACATCGACCCCAAAACCATCAGTGTAGAACCATCTGTACATGGCACCAAACTCGGGGATCATCCAATGGAGGAATCTGACCAGGAACTGGAACGTCTCTGGGATCTCCGCCCCCTTCTTAGACTTGAAAATGGCACTGGCAGCTTCCAGCGTGAGCTCGTCGCCAGCCAAAGGAATCTCCTTGCCAGCGAATTCTTGGGGTTGGAGGAATGCCTTTGCAGCGGCTCGTCCTACATCCTTAACAGAAACCAGCTGTAGAGGCTTATCCTTGACTGCGACTCGCCACGATGTAGCCATGATCTTGATGCCCATTCCCGGCTCCATGTTTTCCATGAACGCAACAGGTCGGAGGATGGTCCAATCCATCTTGCCGCGCGCCTTTTCGACTAGGTGGTGTTCGATGCGATGTTTGCTGACAAAGTGAGATACACTAGGGACGTAGTTGTCGTATGAGCCGTCTCCGCCTCGGTCGATGGAGCTGTATGTGAAGAACTTGATATTGTTGGATAGAGCCGCATCAACTAGCGCCTTGCCTTGGGCTTCTTCGAGCTCCGCCGACGCTCCCTTGCCGATGGCCGTCTGGATGTCCGTTAGCAACATAAACCGATTAGACCAGGATTCCTACACGTACTTGTACACTAAAAACACCCCAAATCTCAGTATGCGAAGAGCTCAAAGCTGCTTTGGCGTCGGAGAAGATAGCGGGGACGTCATTGAGGTCGCCTTGAATGACGATAACCCCACGAGATGCCAAGATTTTGGCCTTAGAAGAAGCAACGTTGCGAGTAACAGCAATGATTTTGTAAGTGCTGCCGGTTTCTGACTCTAGAAGCGCATCAATAACGGCGCCGCCTTGTTTACCGGTTGCACCAGTGACCAGGATCGCCCGACTTGACTGAGAGTCGCTCGACATGGCTAGATAGATATTTTGTGGGTGATTCTTGTTGAGACTTGGTAAGACTGCTTGCATGTATTGTTGGTATGTGATAGTAGTGGTAGTATTGTATGATTTGATATGAGATGATATTAGAGTTGTTGATGATTCTGCAAGGGAAATGGAAGACAAGGAGACATCATCTTTCTTATATCTTCAAACCATCACGCATGCAAACCCAGTTTCACTCTCGAATTAGACCAAATGCATACTCAAGCTCGCCTCTTCGCTTCTCGCGACAGCTAAATCGCCGGACTTCTAGATGATTGTTCATCAATCTTATCTCGTGGTGGTTGCAAACGAAAGGGATGCTACCCCTGGCCTAGTGTAGTGAAGCGACAGGTCTCGCGTGCCGGGCAAACGGACAAAAGCGCGTTTCTGCATGCTTCCTGTCAGCTTAGAAATCAGCACACAATGCTGTTATTCTATTGGCTGACAACACCACAGGAGAATGACGCTGCCCGCCGATGTGCCATTCCAGAGTGTCGGGGATTCGTCAGCTGCATGGGCAACATGAGTCTTACCGCATGCAGACGCTGTAGCTGCGGGCTAACCCGATCGCTCGAATAGGGTATCGGTCGAGTGTCAAAAGGGTAGCTTATATCGACGTGCATACAGCTACTTGTCCTACCTGATTATGGGTCTAACGGCTCAGCACGATCGCCTCCGAGAGCTCTCACGTGCAACCAAATCATGAAAAGTAGATGAGTTACTACTGGTGGGATAAGACTAGGTGAAGAACAATATGTCTTGTCAGCGCTTGAAAGGATCTAGCAGCAGGGCAGGTCATTTGCAAAATCAAAGAGACGACATGAACGTAGAAATATGACTAAACAATCAGAAAAGCCCTCCAGAAGTCTTTGCCCCAAACAGATTCACCCGCATTCCAGCAGCCTTTGGAGTAGAACACTCCGTCCCATTCACACAGACATTAAAGCCACAACAGTTGTCAACCAAACACACACCACCTCCAGTACAGGGAGATGTCGAGTTACACTGATCATACCCAACGCATCTACCCGTCCGGAACCCAATACCCCCGCCCTCCAGAGTCTTGCCGCAGAGACAGTCAGAGTCAGGAATGGAGGCTTCGGGCGGGTAAAACCGTTCCCCATCTTGAACGATGCACGCGTTTGCATTCGGGCAGCATGCAAGTGCTGTCGGGTCCGTGACATTGCGCTCGTACTCTGAGCCTGTTGAGGGTAGGGCCGTTATGTTTGCGAGAGAGATGGGTGTTGTGGAGGTTCCGGCCGTGAAAGTGAGGTTCAACGTCTCAGTCGAGATGAGGGAATGGCAAACTTCAGATTTGATAGTTGTGACACCGTAGCCCTCAACGATATCACCTAGACCCGATCCAGAGCCCGAAGTTGAGTTCTTGAACGTTGCGGCCGAAAAGTCATAGAGATTTATAAAGCTGTCAATGACAGACAGAATTCCGCGACCCGCATCAGAGCCAAGTTGCAGTCCGGCATCAATGAAGGGCTGGAGAAGCTGGTCGACGTTGACGACGCTGACGAGTTGCTGGAAAAGCAGACTCCACACCGACGTGAGGGGTGGACAACTACCAACCAGAGAACCCTGCGTCAAATGATCCAGGGTCTGTTGAACTGACGTCTCACACTCCATGGAATTACTCCCGCTTCCCGGAAATGCGCAATTCGCGACGAAGTCTCCTGTAGCACCTGGGAGGACGATGCATTGAGTATCACCTAGCGCGACTGATACCGGAAGATCGGCACGAGCAGGATTTCCGCACTGGTCTTTGAGATGGAGAGTGATGTCGAATGCGTCCTGTGCCATCTCGGCCAACGTCCCTTTGAATACTGGAAGACGACGCGGATCTGTGCCGTTGACTGGGATATCAGTAGTGTTTGTACAGGTGGAATTCGTCAAAGCGTTGAGCTGCTGGAAGAAACCAGAGATAAAGACGTCAATCTTGGGCGAGCAATTTGCGGAGGCAAAGTGTAAACCGTCGCTGTCGATGGAAAGCACGTTACCGGCTTTGTCAACGATTCCAAGTCTTGATGGATCGGAGACGTCGACGAGAACTGGGTTGGTGGCATTGTCTACGAGACGGAGGTACTGGACGGAGTGCGTAGTCTCATTGAGGTAGAATGCGTCGATATATGGGGGAGTACGGTCGGTGACATTCAGGAGTGACTCGTGCAGTGATGCTGTCGGGGTAGGAAGGGCGTAGCACGAAGTCGCGTTCTGCGCAACAACCACTGAGATACCAGTGAAAGCTGATTCGTAGCTTGAGGTTGAGGTCGCTGAGGTACTTGCCGACGCAGATGGAGAACTAGTCGTGGATAATGAGCTTCCCGCTGTCGGGGCTGTTCCATTGAGAGTGCTCACGAACGTGGCGCCGCCGGTGAGGATAACGGCTGTCGGTGTTACTCGACTCGAAGAGCCCTGTGTCAGGGTACCGAAGATGGTTGAGCCTCCGATCACTGTCCAAGACGAGGCAATGCCCCCAATAACGCTCGTTATGACAGTTGCGCCGGGTGGGGGCTGAACCGGCGCAGAAGTTGGGCTCGGAATTGGACTGATGGTCGAGCCTCCGATTATCGTCCATGAAGAACCAACTCCCCCGATGACGCTGGTAACAACGGTCGCACCAGGTGGCAGATCAGATGCAGCAGACGTAACTTTTGGCACTGGACTGACTGTAGAGCCTCCAATGACCGTCCATGAAGAGGCCACACCTCCGATGATGCTTGTGACAACAACTGCGTCCCCAGTTGTGGTCGGTGTAGGAATAGTGCCGGTGACATTTGTTGAGTTCACGATAGTCGAGCCTCCAATAACAACCCAGGTTGACCCGACCCCTCCTACCACACTCGTGATTACCGTGGCGTCCCCAGATACCGTTGGAGTCGGTGATGTGCCACTGGGGTTTGCGGAGATGGTAGAACCTCCGATTACAGTCCACGACGAAGCAACGCCATCAATGATGCTGGTGATTACAGACGGGGTAGCACTTAGGGTCGGCGAACCAACTACCGTTGAACCCCCGATAACCGTCCAAGTTGAGCCAACACCACCGATTACGCTTGTAATGACGCTGAATACTCCGGTCTCTGTTGCAGATAGAGTCGGAGTAGGCATTGGGACTGTGTTCCCGTCTGACGGAAACCCGACAGTTGAGCCTCCGATCACCGTCCAGGTAGACGCAACCCCTCCAATGACGCTCGTGATGATGCTAACCTCAGCCGTCTGAGATGGGCTCGGCGTGGATGTGGGTGAAGCCGATTTGGGGGAGCTGACAATCGTTGAGCCACCTATCACGGTCCACGTTGAACCTTCCCCATTGATGATGCTTGTGAAGACAGTGAAGGCGCCCGGGATGGTTTCTGAGGGAATCGGAGGTTGAGTAAGTGTGCTGCTGTTGGCAAGAGGACCACCACTGGTGCTTCTGCCGAGAGTGACGACCCAAGTCGAGGCCACGCCGCCGATGTCACTTGTAATTGTGGTGACTGCAGGTGGCATAATGGGCGTACCGATTGTCACTTGTTGGCCAGAAGTACCAGTAGTGCTAAAAGGCCAAGACAGACTCCAAGAAGAAGCTCCATCAGGCAACGTGTTTGTGAGACTGCTGATCGAAGACGATTCAGGAGCCCCAGTGATGGTTGTCGTAACCCCGTTGATAACCGACGTGGTTCTCCCCATGGTCCAAGTCGAACTCGGCTCAGATTTGCCCCCGGAAATCGTCTTGACTGTCGTATAGTTCCCGCTGGTAACCGTAGTGACTCGCGGCACCGCGCCTGTAGACTCAACCGTCCTTCCAGATTGTGTGGGCATACCAACGGTAGAGTCCCCGATCAACGTCACAGTCGACACGAACTCAGTTGCAGTCCCACTAGCTTGACCAGTAATAGTCTTCGTCGTGGGAGACGGGGCGGGCCGACCACCACTGTCGCCATCGCTCACGGACGGAAGACTCTGCGCGATGCTCGTGTTTGGGATCTCGGAGCTATAGATGTAGATTGTGCTGACTTGCGTTTCTGTGACTTTGACTGTGGCGGTAACCTCGCCCCAGCCACACGTTGAGACTGTCTCAGATGGGATAGCTGGACCAGGGAAAGAATATGAGTAGCCCCCGTCGAAACTTGCGTGGGCGGTTGGGATGCTTTGGGTATCCGAGGCTGCCGTGGTTGATGGTGCGTCACTGGCTCCGGGGTCATCGGTTTCAGTAGAGTAGTCGACTGCCGTCGTTGCCGTCGCATTTGCATGGCAAGGAGCTCGAGGTGTTGGGTCGAGACTTAGAAGACAAGAGCACTGTGGCATATTGGTCCTTGATTCTTCACAATCAACAGGGATTGGTATGGGTAAAGTGCAACTTACCGCTGATGATACGGAGAGGGCAGGATAACTCGTCGGAATAGGATCTGGTAGACTCAGCGTGGCAGTGGCTTCGGCAGAGTTTAGGAGCATGGAGCAGTACATCGTTCCGTTGTGCCGCACCATGGCGCGAAGGAGGTTGTCGCCGTGGCATCCATCTGCCACAACCAACGCTGCGCTCCCTGCGAGAAGAATGAGAGATGAGAGAAACATGATAACAAATGATATCGATGTTGAAATTGAAAGACAAAAAGGGAGCGACAGTGGTCAGACTGAGAACGAAAAGAGGGAGGGATTGAGCCAGTGTTGAGGGCGGAGACTGTCGAGCTTCGTCGGCCTCTGGTCCCATTGGGGTTGCTCGTCGCTTTTACCTCCTGTACCTTAGGTCTCCCGAGACCTTTATACAGGATGTAATGAGCTTGACTCACGATACCCTCACGTGTCGCAAGTTGGGTATCCTGTGCCGCTATTCCGGAAGCAAACCACAACGCCGAGACAAGCTCTAGCACCGGACCACTCATCCTACCTAGGCGGACCATTGCCTCGGTGAGAGATTGGGAGACAGCAGTCGCATCACCACGAAACAATATACCCGTGATGCCATCGCTTCCCAGATATCGATCATCAGAGCATCACACTACCACTGACTAGCTATCGTCCGACACCGGGCCCAGCTCCTCCGCGGTACACTACAGCCACCTCGTGCTGCTCAGCTGCATGCGCATCCGAGACCGGCGCGGTACGCCGTCGAGATCATGCAGGTACCAAACTGACAGCACCGAGCTGCAAAACGCCTCGTATTCAATCACCTTTGTGTCTTCGATAGGCTTCGATTCCTGTGCACGAGGCCCATTTCCATCATTCGTTACATTAGGCTGGTAAACGACTGTCGTTTCAGCCATCCTCATCGCTGAGCTCACGATCCACATCTCGTGAGAGTTGAAGTAGTGCTCTCGGCATGGGTAGGGGTATCCTTCGCCAAGCGAATATTGCTGATTCATATCTCCTTATGAAGCGGAAATTCGACCAAAACCTTGTGTCTTCTCGTAGAATGAGACAGAGAAGAGTTGATGAGGGGATAAGATCACGCACATGAGGTTCAACAAGACTGACCCAAGAAGCGAAAGGCGACACAAACTAAAGGTAGCAGTGGCCACCCACAACATTAGAGCAGGCTCAAGTCTGACAAGATGCGTAGAACAAAGCCAAGAAAGCCTCCAATTTTCTTTTCAATCATTACATCCATGATGCGCCTCCCCTCGTACAGTCATTATACCGATGACACACCAAGAACCGACCCATGGCCACCCCAAGGGGCCAACAATATTAACAGGCATGATCAACTGAAAACGCGCGCAAAATAGCACTGAACCCATCATTCGTAAGACTCTCCCCTGTTCTCTCTACCCATATTCCATCATCGTGCCATCGTCGTCTGTTGCGTGGCTTGCTGAATCTGATCTTGACCCTGACCCTGCACGCGTGTCCGCACGATGTAGTCCTGATTCTCGATCGTCACGCTCTTGGTCATGTGGTTCACCTTGTAGACACCAACGAGACGGGCGGCCAGCTCGAACATGTTGTTTCGGAGCGAAATGACAATGAACTGGGCGTTCTTCGTGCGCTCCTTGATGTAGTTGGCAACAATTGAGACCTGGAAATGACAAAGTTAGCAAGGATGAATCGCGGCAGGAACCAATAGCGAGGGTATGAACTTACGTTTCTGAAATCCAACGCAGCATCAATCTCGTCCATGACGTACAGAGGCGTCGGCTTGTAGTGATGCAGAGCAAAGACAAGCGCCAAACTGCTTAGTGTCTTCTCACCACCAGACAAGTTGCTGATGTTCTTCCATGACTTCTTCGGGGGCATGACACTGAAGAGGATACCTTCGCTGAAGGGGTCCAGGGAGTCGACCAATTCAAGCTCGGCGTTACCACCCATCGTAATCATTTGGTACATCTCCTTGAGGCGGAGAGAGATGGTGCTGAAGCCCTCCATGAAGCCCTCCAGCCGCAGGCGACGGAGTTCGTCGCAGCGCTTCTTGGCGGCGTCGCGTTGGTCGACGGCGGTCTGAAGGTCTGATGAGCGGGCGGCGTGCTCCTCGACGCGGCGGCGGTACTCGGCGAGAACACCGAGATCGACATTGACGTTTTGTGTCTTCTCCTCGAGGGCGGCAATTTCCCCCTTGAGTTTCTCCTTGCTCATGTCCGCAAGCTCATCAGGAGTGTAAACGGGCAGCTCGAGTGCTTGACTGCTTGGCTGAGATGGCAGCTGAGACTCGTCAGACTCTCCCTCCTCATCCTCGTCCTCGGCTTCGGCAGATGGTTGGGAGATCTCGCCAGTGACCGCGTCCTGGGTCACTGTCTTGTCACCATCGGCTTCTGCATCATCCTCTCCCTCGGCAGCTGCCGGTGCAGGGGTAGCCTTGGGAGCAGGGTTGGAGGTGCCGGTCAAGTCGTCCACATTCTGCAGCACCAGCTTCGACAGCTTATCGTTCCAGTACATGAGTCTCTTCTGGTTCTCAGTCAGGACCTTCTGGTTCTCCTCAAGCTTATTGCGCATCTCGATCTCGCTGGCTCGAGTAGCATTCAATTCGGCAGTCTTTTCATCGAGCTCGGCCTTGAGGGATGTCAGCTCTTGTTTCTTAGCTGCCAAACTCTCCTCGGCCTCGTCGACTTGGCCTTGAAGAGACTCGGCCTTCTCGCCTTGGTTTTCAATCTCGTGCTCGAGCTTTTCAAGGTCGCGAATAGCCACCTCAATGTCCTTGGTGGCCTTGGCGTGGTCTCTCTCAAGCTTAGTCTTTTGCTTCTCAGCCTTGACCTTGCGAACTTCGGCGTTGGATGTTTCCTCGTTTTGAGAGACGATCTCCTCCTTCAGAGAATCGACGTTGGCTTTCTGAAGGCGCAACTTCTCACCACCAACCTGCATGATCTTGTCTTGGAGAGCCTTGATCTCTTCCTCAACTCCAGATGTCTCGTCATGGAGCTTCTCAACCTCCT